TTTCATCAAAATAACACGCCTCAAGCCCCCTGGACTTACCTACTCCACCTAACGTATTATAGGATTTTTTGGCCCATCATAATGATCGCCTCCTCAAGAGGGCTAACGTAGATTCGTAGCGGTTCTAAGTTACACACATATGCCTAGGCCTTATTCCTCTCAATCTATTCTTCTTGAACTCTTATTCAAGCAAAATATCCCTATAGACACTCCCCCCTTTTTGCGCTGTTTACCAGTGCAAACAAATTTAGAATAGTTAGAACAGACCCCCATTCCACAGCAATAACAGCAACACCAGCACACACAAGTCTTTTACACGGTATATCTCCCCAGCGCATACACCCATAACCAAACGAACCAAATCGCACACAAGACCGTGAGAAATCTCACCTTATAAGACGGCGTCTTGAGCGGGAGTCACTTCGCTGCTCATGAATGTAACACAGGAGAGACGCAGACCGGCCCAATCACTCGTCGCCATTTTGTAGTGTCGAGAAAGCGTTGCTAATTATGCTCTGAAACAAAGGAGTCCGCTTATACTGTACTTCGATTATAAGTTTTATTTATATCACAAGTTTTCAGCATAAGTTTACAGACGTCTGCAGCATATGTCTGTTCTGATCTTCTTTGTTCCAACCCAGTACTTATAATCTTTACCAAGATATGGGTGGTTCCCCATACTGTCCAATCACCTGTCTCCAACAAACAGACTTCCTCTGTTCTATGGGGTGTCACTCTAAAACGGCTCCCTGTAAAACTGAATAAACATCCTCTCAGGTTCCACTTGAAAACATTAGCAGTCATTAGCAGTCTTCATACACTACAACGGCTTACAGCCAAAAAGCACATGGAATCGGATATTTCAAGCACATGGAATCGGATATTTCAAGTCAGATACAAATCTGATTCTTGGCCATGTGACTTGTGTCTGAACGGTCAAATCTGATTTGTTTTTATACTGTTATTTGGCATATCTTGTTGCTTGCTAGTTACTCTGACTCTTGACAGTTTGACAAGAACATGTGGTAGCTAACTAGCTTGTTAATTGTTTACAAATACATTTGTGAATGTGCTAGAAAGCTAAATAGCTACCTACCTAGCTAGTTGACTGCTGTGGCTAGCCAAAAATGATTTGTTTTCAAAGTTGGATCATCTTATCTTTTGAGGCTTTAAAGGTGTTCTTACACTATGATTTTGAACATTCAAAGTAACTGGGTGATTCTCATGAAACCAGTTTTAAAATGTCTGTAGCAAATTGAGTTACAAAACCATGATGCATCTGCAAAAATCAACTATCATTCTGAGGACTAAGATGTATAGTTTTAGGGAAAGCGTTTTATTTTAAATACATTTAAAATGTTTGCCTGAATGTTGTACATTTTCAATACAAATTCTCATTACTGTAATGCGTCCTTATAAAGTTCTTGGTTCATTTTTTACAATTTTACTTTAGAAACGTATTATTTTAATAAAATACAAAAATATGTTGCTGTAGGTTGTCCATAAATAATAATACTGGTATACTAGTTGTAGTTTACATTAAACTATAATATTTATTACGTACAAACACAGTGTCTGTGGACATGTGTCTCATTATCGCTTTTTCTCGGTTCAGACTGCAGGACAAATATAATATTCGAATCAAATACAGTGGGGAAAAAAAGTATTTAGTCAGCCACCAATTGTGCAAGTTCTCCCACTTAAAAAGGTGAGAGAGGCCTGTAATTTTCATCATAGGTACACGTCAACTATGACAGACAAAATGAGAAAAAAATATCCAGAAAATCACATTGTAGGATTTTTTATGAATGTATTTGCTAATTATGGTGGAAAATAAGTATTTGGTCAATAACAAAAGTTTCTCAATACTTTGTTATATACCCTTTGTTGGCAATGACACAGGTCAAACGTTTTCTGTAAGTCTTCACAAGGTTTTCACACACTGTTGCTGGTATTTTGGCCCATTCCTCCATGCAGATCTCCTCTAGAGCAGTGATGTTTTGGGGCTGTCGCTGGACAACATGGACTTTCAACTCCCTCCAAATATTTTCTATGGGGTTGAGATCTGGAGACTGGCTAGGCCACTCCAGGACCTTCGTTGCCCGGGCGGTGTGTTTGGGATCATTGTCATGCTAAAAGACCCAGCCACGTTTCATCTTCAATGCCCTTGCTGATGGAAGGAGGTTTTCACTCAAAATCTCACGATACATGGCCCCATTCATTCTTTCCTTTACACGGATCGGTCGTCCTGGTCCCTTTGCAGAAAAACAGCCCCAAAGCATGATGTTTCCACCCCCATGCTTCACAGTAGGTATGGTGTTCTTTGGATGCAACTCAGCATTCTTTGTCCTCCAAACACGACGAGTTGAGTTTTTACCAAAAAGTTCTATTTTGGTTTCATCTGACCATATGACATTCTCCCAATCCTCTTCTGGATCATCCAAATGCACTCTAGCAAACTTCAGACGGGCCTGGACATGTACTGGCTTAAGCAGGGGGACACGTCTGGCACTGCAGGATTTGAGTCCCTGGCGGCGTAGTGTGTTACTGATGGTAGGCTTTGTTACTTTGGTCCCAGCTCTCTGCAGGTCATTCACTAGGTCCCCCCGTGTGGTTCTGGGATTTTTGCTCACCGTCCTTGTGATCATTTTGACCCCACCGGGTGAGATCTTGCGTGGAGCCCCAGATCGAGGGAGATTATCAGTGGTCTTGTACGTCTTCCATTTCCTAATAATTGCTCCCACAGTTGATTTCTTCAAACCAAGCTGCTTACCTATTGCAGATTCAGTCTTCCCAGCCTGGTGCAGGTCTACAATTTTGTTTCTGGTGTCCTTTGACAGCTCTTTGGTCTTGGCCATAGTGGAGTTTGGAGTGTGACTGTTTGAGGTTGTGGACAGGTGTCTTTTATACTGATGACAAGTTCAAACAGGTGCCATTAATACAGGTAACGAGTGGAGGACAGAGGAGCCTCTTAAAGAAGAAGTTACAGGTCTGTGAGAGCCAGAAATCTTGCTTGTTTGTAGGTGACCAAATACTTATTTTCCACCATAATTTGCAAATCAATTCATTAAAAATCCTACAATGTGATTTTCAGGATATTTTTTTCTCAATTTGTCTGTCATAGTTGACGTGTACCTATGATGAAAATTACAGGCCTCTCTCGTCTTTTTAAGTGGGAGAACTTGCACAATTGGTGGCTGACTAAATACTTTTTTTCCCCACTGTATGCAATTTTTTTTATTTGTGTCACTTCAAACAGCCAGTGTGAACAAGGATTTAGAAGCGACAACCCTTTCCCAACAATGCAGTAATCAATATCCATACTATAAAATAAAATAAATTTGAACAAAAACACGCTAGAAATAGAAATAAGAAGAACAAGAGAATGTAAGTAAGCTATATACTGTACGGGGTCTGTTCCAAGGTCAATGCCAATAACATATTTACAATGTGCAGGGATACTGGAGTGGTAGGGGTAGATATGTATAGGGGTAAGGTGACTAGGCATCAGGATATATGAAACAGAGTAGCCGCAGCATATGATGATTGTATGTGAGTGCGTGTGCATGTGTAGAGTCAGTATGAATGTGTGTGCGTGTTATGTGTGGTATGAGCCAATGAAGTTTGTGTGTGTGTGTATGTGTGTGTGTGTGTGTGTGTGTGTGTGTGTGTGTGTGTGTAGAGTCCTGTGAGTGTGCATAGTCAGTGCAAAAAATAAAAGGGTCAATGCAGATAGTCCATGTAGACATTTTGTTAGCTATTAAGCAGCCTCATGGCTTGGGGATAGAAGCTGTTGAAGAGCCTGTTGGTGTCAGACTTGTTGCTCCGGTACTGCTTGCCATGCGGAAGCAGAGAGAACCGTCTATTGCTTGGGTGGCTGGGATCTTTAATAATTTTCTGTGCCTTCCTTTCACACCGCATGATGTAGAGGTCCTGGATGGCAGGAAGCTCGGCCCCAGTGATGTACTGGGCTGTCCGCTACACACTCTGCTCCATGCGATCGAGGGTGGTGCCGTTGCCATACCAAGCAGTGATGCAGCCAGTCAAGATGCTCTTAGTGGTGCAGCTTGAGGTCCCATGACAAATCTTTTCAACCTCTTGAGGGGGAAGAGGTGCTGTCGTGCCTTCTTCACAACTGTGTGCATGTGTGTGGACCATTTAAAGTCCTTAGTGATTTGGACATTGAGGAACTTGAAGATCTCGACCTGCTCCACTACAGTCCCATTGATGTGGATGGGGGCGTCCTCGCCCCCTGTTTCCGGTACTCCATGATCAGCTCCTTGGTCTTATTGACATTGAGGGAGAGATTGTTGTCCTGCACTCTTAGAAAAAAAGGTTCCTTATAGAACCAAAAAGGGTTCTATCGCTTGCTTCATATATGGAACCCCTTAAAGTTCTATATAGAACCCTTTGATCAGAACCCTAGAGGTTCTTCTTCACTGAACCAAAATAGTTCCATATAGAATTCATGCATTGATGAATTATGGCTACTACTATTAAATACTCATATTTTGAGGTAGAATTTAATTCAATAAGTCAATTAAATAATGGACAAAAGAATAACAGCATAGTTTTTAGAATGTTTTGTCATTATATGCAAACATAGCTTGGAAATATGCACTGGTGGCCAGGGAGGCATCTCTTTGTTTGAATGATGGCCAACGTCAACTCTCTGGCTGACTTCTTTACAATACAATACAATACAATACAATACAACTTTGTCCATTAGTTACA